GCAAAACCAAATATCTGATCCCCCATTCCGGCTGCCCACTCCACCCTCGGGCCTTGGGCCTCCCATCTGAACAAGGAGGGCTGGACTTCACCAGAGCTTTGCAAATCATGACCCAAGGGAGGGGGTGCCCCAGCATGGATTAATGCCCATCAAACATAGATATCTAAGCTGCTTCAGGGACCCCTTTTCCATGGAAGGTCTTCATTGTAAAAGAATTTTGTTAAAAATACATTTGAAAAGGACCAGCATCATCTGTAAAAGCCCTTTGTCCTCCCTAATCCTCTGTGATTCATTGACTAAGACGTCATCTGCCTTTCCGTTTGCCTAGGTCACCCTCTCCTACCCCCACCCTCTCTAAATCTTCTAGTAAAAATTAACCTCTCTCTCCCCCTCCTCAGTGCCCCTGAGGCATTTTCCCTCCCTCTTTTATAGCTCTTACCTTGCCTGATATAGATTACAATTATCTACATCTTTATCTGTCTCCCTCACTCAACTGTGCCTCTCGAGATGCTTTTCTGGGCCTCTGGTGGGACCAAATAGATGTTTAATAAATGTTTGCTAAATTGAGAGGGAGGAGAAGGAAAGGGAGAATGCTCTAAGCAGCTGGCTCCCACCAGTACCATTCTTAAATTATAATTGACAAACATGTATTTGATACCAACCATGTGCTGTGTACTCTTATGTTCATATTTATTATCTTAAGTAATTAGAATCCAAATGGGATCATTCAGCCCTTGTCCTTTAAGATTAAGATGGATTCGATCAACAGTTTCTCCCCAGAGACGGTGGGAGACCCCCCATTCTCCTGAGTGTTCCTGGAGAACAGCAAGGGTAGGCTTAGATTTCTCCTGATCCTTGGGTGAAATCTACTACTGCTGAACTCGTGCAAATTGAGAGTCCTCTCATGTACTCTTTTTCCCAAGTCCCAATTACTTCCCTCCATGAAATGCCACGGTCACAAGCCAAGAAGGTTGTCTCAGCAGCTGCCTTTCTCTAAAGGTTCAGACAGGTGGTGGAGGTTTACATCAGAGCCCAGGAAACTCCTGATTCCTGAAGGTCAGACATCTTGTAAAGTCTTGTAAAGTCTTAACTTCTCACAGGATGCCTTTCCCTGCAGGCACCACCTTCACGTCACACCGGTCAGTCCCATTTTCTCCTCTCACCAGATGGCTTCTCTCTGTGGCTTGTCCATAGTCCCAAATTTCTATTCCCTTCCTACAGGGAACACTGTTTCACTGTCCGACTCCAGACCACACCCTCAGGTCTTGTCCCCTATTCCTGAAACAAGTTATCAATGCATTTCCCTAAACCGGAACAATTCTTTCCCCCAGCGGAGCACTGCCAGTGAGCGTTAAAATAACAATTCTTTTACAAATACACTTGACCTTCACAAAAACCCGGGCAGTTTACCCAGAAGGCTGAGACGAGGTGGAAACGATGTTGGGGGACTTCCTCAAAGCCATAGAGATGTCCGCTGCAGACCCAGAGCTCAGACCCCAAGACCAGGACTCAGGTCCTTCGCATCCATCCTGGTTCCAGGTCCCTGGAAAGGCTCTTTCTGGCGTGCTGCTCATCTTCTGCCTCCTGGGGTTCTGCATTGCATGTACCTTGTCCCACTTTGGCTGCCAGCTGGTCTGCTACCAACCCAGCACCGTGAGTCCCGGAAGCTCCTCAGTGGGTGGAAAGAGGTCCCCAGCGGGGTGGAGACTAGAGGGTTCTGCAGGAGCAGGAGGAGTGCGCGCATGCCCAGTCCTTCCTGCACCCTCAGCAGCCCGCCTCTTGTGCGTCTGTTTCCAGGTGGGCGTGGTCTTCCCGAATGTCTATGTGGCAAACCCAGCTGTCATCCCGGAACCAGCAACCTCGCCACCAAATTTTTCCGAGACCCAAGAACCTAAATAAGCAAAACCAAAGATTCTAGAAGCATTTTCACTGGAACCCAAAGAAGACCCTCCCTTTCTAAGCTTTGGAAACCAGATCCTTCCTTCCTTGACAATCTAAAGGAGCTGTCTCTCCAACCGCATGCATCCTAGCCATGATTCGTTTCAGCCTGGTAATTCTGCTGTTCCTCTATTAAAAAGGAGACAGGAATTTTAAACGGATTTTAACAAAAAAGGTCTTCCCCAGGGCATCCGACAAGGGGCCCTTGTGTTCACACATGTCTAGACAACCCAAGCTCCGATCTTTCAATCATCCATTCATTTAATAAAAATGCACTAAGCATTTGATATGTTCAAGGTTCTATTCACAGCAGGAGGAGGGCAAACATTGTGTACACAACAGCCCTTGACCTCAAGGAACGTCTGGCCTCTAGAGAGGACGATAGACAAGCAATTTTCTCTAGCACGGGTCAGAGTGTGGGGATACGCAGAGAGAGAGCAGAGAGCGGTGCGACTTATTCTGGCAGTGATGCAAATAGGAATGTGGGAAGCAGAGAACAATCCAGGTTGAGGAAGCAACATTTGAGTGGGGCACCAAGGGAGGGCAAGGGCTTTTTTATGGAATAAGGAAACACACGCCGTTGGGAAGACCTTTGAAGAGAGTGAATCATCCACTAAAATGATCAGTCTTTTTTTTTTTTGTGTTATAACTGAGGCAATAGTGCTCCTGAGTAAACACTGTCTTACAGTATCTTCCAAAGTTGTAAACTGAGGGAGGATTGTATAGCTTGGTGGTAGAGTGCGTGCTTAGCATGCACAAGGTCCTAGGTTCAATTCCCAGCACCTTCGTTAAAAATAAATGAATAAGTAAGCCTAATTACCTCCTCGCCCCACCAAAAAAATTAAAATTAAATAAAAATTTAAAAGTTATGAGGTGAAATATGAAAAGAAATTTTCACATATTAAGTTATGTGAAAGGGAAGACATTCTGGCTTATATATGAATTGAATTTTTTGCTAACTAAAATAGCCGGTTTGTGGCCTAACAAACACACACTGTAGATCTTCTTTAATTAGTAAAGAAAAGGGCACATGAACCAGAAGTAAAAGGAATGTCCACGTTAAAAATAAAAATTAAATGCCTCTCTTCCTGGAACGTCAATGCTGGTTCCCCTTTGATGGTAAGACACCCTTCGCAACTGCCCAGGCCATCCTGACATGCTGTGTACCGGCTGATGTGTGTGTGTGTGTGTGTTTTGAAACCTTGAAGAAATGTATCTCTGATTTGTTTAATTTTCTTTGTTCTGACAAAATATAAAACTGTGCTGGAAACCGGAAAGGGGCTGGCCTCTTTGGATCTTGGAGGGCTGGATGGGCAGAGCAAGTCTGGCCGTCTCTCCATCTCCTTCATTGCTGCTTCTCACTGCCCTGTCCGACCCCCACCTTTCACTCTACAGAACCCTAACCCTCAACTTGGCTCCTCCACTCCGTCTGCAGGGTCTCCTTCCTGACTTGTCTGACCTGGGAGTTAACTCAGCCTCGCCTGCTGTGTCTCCCCTCCTGTGGTGTGGGCCATCCCAGAGAAAGCATCTCCTAACTCACCAGGTGCTCCTCTAGACAGGTCACACCTGCCAATGCCTGCTGAAGTCACCATTTCTTGTTGGAAGAGTCCCTTTCCTCTCCCACCATCTGCACTATTAATCCTGTGTGCTAGGACGCTTATCCCAGAGGACCCCTTCACCAACCGGGGTGATGGCTCACTAGCTCTTGGGGGCAATGAAATTTTGTGCGTGCTCTGCACCACCCCACAAACTATCCATCTGCATGCCTCCATTCACTCCCACCCCCTGCAGAGCAATGGAACATAAGAACGGGAAGAGATCTTAGAGCTCTGCGATCCACTCAACTACTGGATAGGTGGGAACACAGAGGTAGAGAGGACAGAAACGTCCCCGAGGCCGTCAGCCCAGCTGGGATCCCCAGCAGGACTGGAACCAGAATTTCCGGTGACCAGTCCAGGGCTCTTTGCAGAAGCAGGGACAGGTGGTGGAAAAAGCAGGGTGATTAAGGTCTGAAGACCTCCTGAGCGCCCACCTTTCTCAGCCTGGCTTTTTCCTCCCACATCCCGATGTGGGTGATGAGGCTGTTCTCACCAAAGTGGCCGGGGCCCTCCCTGGCTCTGTTTCTGTCCTTATCTCACTGGACTGCGGGAGAATTTGACCCAAAAGATCACTCTCTCCTTAAAACACTGTCCTGGCTCTGCTCCAGCTTCTCCAGGAGCCCTCCTCACCCCCCTGCTGGCGCTCACCTCCCTCATTTCAGCCTCAAGCACTGGTCTCCAGCATGGTGCTGCCCTGGACCCTCTTCCCAGCCTACGTACTCAAGCCCACCTCCTGGGAGCTTGAGGTTCAAATCTCAAGTGAGACTGTGACATTCAATGGCGCCAATCAGCACATCAAAGTTAAACTGCTTTCCATCAGGCCCTGGATGTCAGAACTCACCATCCTCCAATCTGGGGTGTCTTAAGAGGGTTTCCGCTACTTCCTAGTTGATATGCCTGCCCCACCTCCTCCACATGGCAAGTTCAAGTCCCCCTTCCACGGGGAAGCTGTCTTATGTTCCCACAGCCAGAAACATCCAAGTGAAAAGCAGTCTTGCGCTGGGAGCAGGGGAAGACGACATAGTGTGACCTGGCAGGGATGACATTCTGAGTTTAACTTTGAGGACTGATTTTTAATCTTGCTTGGAAAAAAATTCTGATTTCCGTATTATGGCTAAAAAAAAAGTAGAATTATGACTTTATGTTTCACAGTAGCTATTTTATACCTGCAACATTTACAGCTCCTCCCGACCTCCTTAAGAACTTTGGGACATTACCTTGGAGAGCATGTTCCATCTGTGGAATGTGCATTACAGTGTCCAGGGAATGTCATGTCAGGGAAGGACACATGCTTCCCCAGCCCCCCACCCCACACCCCACCCCAGGGCCATGCTATGACCCACACTGCCCTGACTTCTCTTCCCAGGACTCTGACCGCCCACAATTTGTACCAGTCATTTGGATTCAGTCTTCCTGGTGCAGACACAGTGTCTTCAGCAGCTCCTAGCCCTCCCGCCAGGCTCAGTGTAAGTCCTGGTACCTAGCAGCTGTTCACTGAATATATCCTAGAATGAAAAGTGTCCCTTACTTCCAGGAAAGAATCCCACACATATCCATTCGCTCGGTAATTCGGCGATACTAAGTGACTCTTGTATGCCAGGTGCTGGGTACCCAGGGGTGAACAAAGCAGATCTGGTTCCTGCTCTCCCGGAGATTACCAGCCGAGGTGTGAGAATGGCAAGTCACATGACCGGTTCAGCAACGAAAAGTGATGGGAGAACAAATTAGATGCTCACATAGCCATTACTAGGGAAGGAGAAGTGGGGCAGAGTTTCCAAAGGGAAGGCCTCTCTAAAGAGGAGTTAGGAAGGAAAAGAAGTAACTAGTCACACAGAAAGAGCAGTAAAACCATCCCAGGCAGAGAGAACAACTTGTGCAAAGTTGCTCAAGTAGACTAGAGCTCGGCGTATTCAGGGAACCGAAAAGAAAGTGCAGCTGGAACGCAGTGAGGAGATGGAGACTGTCTCAAGGAGGGACAGAAAAAGCAGGCAGTGGCCACGTGAAGGATTTGGAATTTATTCTAGGGCTACAAGCCATGGGACAGCTCTAAGCAGAAGAGTAATGCGATCGGATTTAGGGTCTGAAAGATCATTCTGCCTGCTTTGTAGGGAAAGGATGGGAGAGGGGCAAAGGCAGGAAGAAGCGGGGTGGGGAGGAGATTTCCTGATAGTCCAGGACAGGGGCTGGCAAACAAAGGCTTGTGGTCTGTATCCGGCCCTCCACCTGTTTCTGCAAATAAAGTTTTATTGAAAGACAGCCATGCTAACTTGGTTACATATTGTCCCTGGCTGCTTTTGTGCTACAAAAGGCAGAGACCATATAACCTGCATAAAATAGTTACT